CCCAACATGCCTGGCGCAGCCGCAAGGTGCGGGCGCAAAAGGCATTGCCGGCACACGGCGTCCCCAGGGCCACCTCCCTGCTCGGGGAACTGGGCTCCTGAGGAGATGGGGGCAGCTCCCCAGGGACACAGTGGTGGGCGAAGGGACCATGGTGCCATGGGGCAGCACCCACCCCAGGGTGACAGGCACAGCCCTCCCCCAGCACTCTGGAACCCCCAGCACTGCCCTACAGGTGCCTCTGCACCCCCAACCCTATTGATGGCCACGCGATCCCTTTAATCCCCGCTAAAGCCCGTACCTTCCCGCTTTGCTAACAAGATCAATGAGGTTTCTAATTGGGTTTTAATTAAATCATCAATCTGCAACCAGTGACTCAATTACCAGCCTGGGCAGGAGCGGGGTGGCCTGGCCCTGTTGCACCCTGGGACAGCCTCCACCCCCTGACGCTGCAACCCCTTCTCCCACAGGAACCCCGCAGGCCCCGGACGCACTGCCGGGGCTCGGTGCCGCCCGTCGCGGTGACTCACAGGGCACGGCACCCTCTGCCCCCGGGCAGCAGCTCCCGCCAGCGCCGCAGCCAGCGCCCACAGGTGGCCAGGGCCTCTGTGCCCCACAGGGACCAGCCTGGGGGGCACAGCCATGGGGCGGAGGGTGGGGGAGCCCCCCAGCCCACCAGGGGATGCTGCAGCCGGTGGGGCTGGGTAATTAGTCGCTGAGAGGTGTAATCACCACCTTGCCCACTTCCAGCCCCACAGCTGGGCACACCCTGCGGTGGGGTGGGGAACTGCCCCTCGTCGGGCAACTCTGCCCCGCGCCCCGCAGCACCTCCTGCTGGATGCCCCCGGGATCTGCCGGGGTGAGGGGGGTCCCCTCCTGCCTCAGCCAACACCCTCCCCAGCCCTGCAGGTGCCAGCGGATGCGATGGAGGGATCCGGCTGGGCACAGCCCCGGTGTTGGGGTCCAGCAGCTGCAGAGGACCCAGGAGTCCGGGCACCCCCAGGGCCCCCCGGCAGGTGCAGGGCGGGGACACGGCTCCTCTCCCGCGCGAGACGCTCCCCCGGGAGAGGCTGCTCCGCGCAAGGGCTCTTGAGAGCCTGCTCCAGCTCTTGCCGCCTGGAACACAAAGTCAGCCAGATAAAAGCTGCCTTGAAGAGGCGAGCATGGCAGCAGCGCCAGTGGCGGGGGAGGCCACACGCGATACTCCCCCCACACAGGTGGGCTCCGACTCACCTGCCTCAGCTGGGCACCAGCACTCCATGTACACCCATCTCACAGCCACCCCGCTCTGCCCCCTCCATGGCACCGGGCACCCTGAGGCCTCAGGCACCAGCACCCTCGGTCCCCGCACCGGAGCCAGGGGCGCAGCGTGGCTCACCCCAACCCGCTCTGGGGGTCTCCTGGGGGCTGCAGCAGCGTCAGGGGGAGCTAGCAATGCCTGTGCCCAAGCACGGGGACAAACTGCTGTCCCCACCTCGGCATCCGGGACACCCAGCAGGGAGGTGGCATCCCATGCACACCGGCACGCCAGGGCCTGGCTTGGCTGGGGACACCCCTAGAAGCCCCCAGCCCCACACCATGGGGCACCCCAGGGATGCAGCCCCCCTGAACGCCAGTGCTGAGTGGGACGCAGCCGCCCCACACCTTTGCCCCATGCCACCACACCTGTTCCTGGCAGGACTTGGGAGTGGAGGGCAGGGACCGGACAAGGATCGTCCCGTGCCCCTGGGGCTTGCCGGCTGCCTCCAGCAGAGACAGCGGGACAGGTGGAAAGCGCAGCCGGACCAACAGCCTGGCCGAGCAGGAGCAGGCACTTGCACTGCCCCGAGCCTCAGATCCCACCTTCGTGCCTCCCCTGGGCTTTGCCATCAGCACCCCGAACCTGCTGCAGGAGGGGTGCCCAGCCCCACTCAGTGGCCCTCCCTGGTCCCCCGGCACCACCAGCCATCCCCTGCGGTGGCCGGGGGACTGGAGGAGTCCAGCCGCGTGCCCAAGGGGGACGAGCTGCCACCAGCCCCCTGCTCCCCAAGGCACCGCTGGGACCCCGGGTGCTGTGGGTGGGCTCTGTGGGGCGGCCCCTCACCCCATCCTCCCACCGAGGGGAGCCACAGGGGCGCCCAGGGCAGCATGGCAGGAGATGCAATAAATTTCTGGGGTGCCTGGCACAGCCCCCGAGGAGCGGCCCACTAC